AGTCAGCCCTGGGGCAGGCGCACATGGGGCTTCCCTGCGCGGAGTGGGCGGGTGTGAGTAGGGCCCAGAGAAGGCACGTGCTGGCTTCCCAGGGAGGGGGGCGGGGGGAGAGGAGAATCCTGGGAGGAGGCAGATGCAGGGGATTCTGCCTCCACTGCCCCCCTGTCCCCACTGCCCTATTCCCACTCCCCACTCCCCTGTCCCCAGATACAGAACTGTCCCCATTACTATCCCCACTCCCCTGTCCCCAGCTACAGAACTCTGTCCCCATTCCCATCCCCACTCTCTGAACTCTGTCCTCATTCCCCTGTCCCGAGCCACAGAACTTTGTCCTCACAGGCACCCTGCTCCCTGCCAAAGCACCCACTAGCACCCTTCCCCAGTACTATGTCCCCTGTTCCCACCAACACAGTTGGGGGCCATGTCAGCCGATGGTCAGGGCAGTCCCCTATCTACTACCCAGTAACCTTTTCAAAGAAGGAAATTAGTTTGGTTCAGCATTATTTGTTCTTTGACATATCCATACTGGCTATTACGTACATCAAATGTTCCCTTTAATCTTCTCCATCCATGAGCAGCATACATTTTTATGAGCACTGAGGCACACGTGAATGTTCACCACCAGTAGATACAAAAATCCTCTCCTAATCAGCTGGGCAGCACCTGAATTTCTTCTGAGAGGCTGCACTAGCACACAGATAGGGAACACTGTTTATCACCCTATTATATTCTAGATTCTTACAAACTGATTTTGTATTTGTGCCAGTATCTTTCTAGTTATTGCAGTTAGGCTGACTGGTCTATAATTCCCTGTATACCCTTTGTTCCCCTTTTTAAAGATTGGTAAACATATATATTGCATTCTTCTAGTCCTCGAGGACCGTAGTCACCAACCAGTCGATCACGATTGACCAGTCGATTGCGAGGCCTCAACCAGTTGATCGTGAGGCATCAGGCTCCCCCCATTTCCCCCCAACCCCCGAGAATCCCCACTACCTACCTCCAGCTACAATGGAGGTAGTTCCAGCTTCCCACGGGGTGGACGGAAGTCCTGAAGCTTCGCGCCACTTCCGGGGGTTCCGGAAGTGCGCTGGCTATTCCCCTCCTACAGGTCTGTGGCGTGCTGGGTGCGCTGCGGGAAGGGGCATTGGCCCCGGAGGAGGAGCATGGCAGCTTTTCTGTGCCACAGGAGGGGTGGGTTGGCCCCGGGTACCCACCCACAGAACTCTGTCCCCACTGGCACCCTGTCCCCTGCCGAAGCACCCACTAGCACCCTTCTCTAGTACTATGTAAGATGGGGTTCATATCTGGCTACAGGCCACATTAGTGAAGCTTGGGGGGGTAGGAGGGGATGGAGGAGGGTTTTTTTGCATCTCACTTGTGTGGCCCCAACTGACTTTTCTTGGGTCAGTGACCCCTGACTCAAGACAGGTTCCCTGCCCTTCTCAGAAATAAAGACAATGCAGAAATTTTTTTTGACACAATATTTTATTTAAAAATGAAGCCTGGCCAAAACCCCCCAAATTGGGGCCAAGCGCCCATCTGGCCACAGCATCATAACACTCCAGCACTCCCCTTTTCCCCAGAACCTACATCTGAGCCTATCATACACTGGAATCCCCTGCCCTGAGCCCCTCACATACCCCAACCCAAATATCTGAACCCTCACATCCAGAAGTCTGTGGCTTGCTTAATACCCTAACCCTACATCTGACCCCAACGCTGCCCAGCCTAGCGCCCTCTCTCTGAGTCAGTGTCCCCTTATCCACCTTCTCCTGCATCCAGATTTCCTCCCAGAGCTTGTAACTCTCACCCCTTTCCACATCCAAATCCCTCATTCTCACCCCAGAGCCTAAACATCCTGTCTCAACCCAGCAAGGTTACGGCTAGACTGCAGGAGTTTTTCAGGATTCCGGAGATATCCCAGAAAAACTCTTCTGCATCCAGGGATGCATTTGTTCTTCCACTTCTTTTAGTGGAAGAGCAGACATGATCTTTCGGTCACCTCTATATTCCTCTTTCCACAAGGAATAAGGGGGCTTCCAAAAGATGGGTTTTTTCTGACATTTGGTCCAGTCTAGACAGGCCAAATGTTGGAAAAACCTCTTCCTACAGAAGAATTGGGGAAAAAAGCACCAGTATAAGGGTTGGGGATAGCAAGTGAAGGAGAGGAGGAGAATAGAGAGGGCTGAGCTTCAAGGAAGGGGTCAGGCAGTAGATCTTGGCTTGTTCTGTCATTTAAAAAGTGACCTTGGGTATGAAAAGGTTGGAGATAACTGCTGTATCCCATCATCTGATTTTTGTTCCAAACTTAATAAATAGCTACCAATAATGCTCTGTGAACTTCTGAAGCACGTTGTTGAGGCTGGAATTTTGGCGATATATTTAACACACAGCTAAACCATCTTGATCAGCTAAAGGACAGCAGGAAATGCAGAAGCATATCAGGTCAGATTTTCAGAAGCTTCCCATAGAACCAGATCAAAATCACACAGTTCAGTGTTTCTATGCAGAGTTTTATTTGTGTGAATTCAGTGCTGAGTGAAAATGATGCTTCATTAATATTAATATTAAAAGGCCTTTTCACCCTCCTCTTTAGATATTAATGAATGTAGCATCAACAATGGAGGCTGCCAGCAGATCTGTGTGAACACACTGGGAGGTTATGAATGCCAGTGTCTTTCCAGCCACAAATTACACTGGAATAAAAAAGACTGTATTGGTAAGGTACATAGAAGACGTTTTTGTACTTTGGGTGTGCTTGAAGGCTACGCAGCTCAAGGCAGTGCTGAAAATCTTGATCAATCCCGCAAAGAGACACAGATCACAATTTCCTTCTTTAGCTTTCTGCCTTAGCTTTTAGTTAGCCATCATGGCCGTTGTTGAAACAGATGAAAAACAGGAGATACTTTGAGGGGCTTTGCTTGGTGCTTTCTTTTCCATGCTTTTATATAGGCTTATTCTTCCATTCACTATTGTGTTTGCCTACATGCAAAAATATTCTGGGATAGTTTTACTTGAAAGGAAATGATGTATGGTATGTGATCTATGCGTGACTATTTTCTTTCCTTCCAATTCTCTCTGTACAGAACCATTAGTTGCATGTACAGAGTTTGGTACCAGTTATGTGGCAGATGTAGCTGAAGGTTTGTGTGTCTACATTGAATGCAGATGTTTTACTTCTTCCATGAGTGTTTGTGTTTTATTTTGTTTAGAGAAAGAGGGGCGGCTGCCTGGTACTATATCACCCTAAGTTTTGCTTTCCTGCATTAAGAATGGTGGGAGTGATAGGTGCATCTTAAACTGTCCCTCTGAGGTCCATTTGATTTCTGGTAAGTCAAATAGAACAAAACAAATATAACACAAGGCCATTAGAGAAAGAATTTAGGAATAAGAATGCATATTTTTCTGGAAGTCTATAATGAGTAATGGAACAAAAGAAACCTTTTTCTCTTCTTTATATCTCTGCCAAAGCACTAGAAATCCCCTTTATAATGTCTTTATAATGACTCTACCCTCAGATCTCCCAGATCATAACAGTTGTCTTCTCCAGTGAACAGGATCTGATAGAAATCCTAGTGTTGTCCATGCCATTCCACAGCTGGCCAAGATTGTTCAGTGATGTGAGGCACTGTCTGTGAATGAACATGCTGGCTGCATGCTACTCCCAGCCTTTGTGTCCCAGGGAGCAGGAAAACAGGACTGGCCTTTAGTTACAGGACCAAGTAAGGGTATGTCTACACTACAAAGTTAATTTGAACTAAGAGACGTTAGTTCAAATTAACTTTGATAGGCGCTACACTTGCAAACCGCTAGTTCGAACTTAATTCGAACTAGGTAAACCTCATTCTGCGAGGACTAACGCCTAGTTCGAATTAACTAGTTCGAATTAAGGGCTGTGTAGCCACTTAATTCGAACAAGTGGGAGGCTAGCCCTCCA